GTTAGACTATTTGCATAGACTACTTATATATACTATATAAGTATATATACTTATACTATTATATACTATTTATATATATATATAAATTTATTGTTCTGAAATCTATTAAGAATTTATTTTGTACAAAGTAAAATGTTGGTTTGGATTCAGTTTTCATTTATCTATTAATTTATTTTGTACAAAGTAAAATGTTGGTTTAGATTGTTTTCATTTAAGTGCTATATTCTTGAAGCATTGTGAAGTACTTTTCTTAAAACTTTAGAACTTTTCTGTTTTTTAGAAACAAGAGTTGAAATAAAAGAATCTGTTCGTGGCCAAGATATTTTCATTATACAGACAATACCCAGGTAAGGGTTACCACTGCTTTATGTACCTCTTTTCTTCTAAAAACCTTAATGATAAATTATCTTTTCATGTGGATAGTTTAAGATTTTTTAAATGATGAATTTAAACTGTTAATTTAGTCTATATTAAATTACTTCCCAAAGCATAGTTCTAGTTTCTGGAATTCCTATTTTGTTTATCACGTTCTACTCTTACTGGTTTACTTGACCACCTTTCCAGACTTTCAGTGCCTCCAAGGCAAAATAGCTTACCTTTGCATCCGCCAAACCTAAGCCAGTGTCTGCCAGTTTAGCTCTGCTGAGAAGTTTGTACTGTTAGGCATACTGCCTAACCGCTCCTGGTTCACACCCATCAAGACAGTTTTTGTTTGTTTTTGGTGGTACCGGGGTTCAACACAGAGCCTTCACACTGAGTTACAGGCCTAATTCTTTCATTCATTCATTCATTCATTCATTTATTTATTTATTTATTTAGGTGACAGAGTCTCACTAAGTCAATGAGTCACCCAGGCTGGGCTTAAATTTGTAATTTTTGTGCCTCAGCCTCCCAGGGTACTGGGATCACAGGTATGTGCGCTGCTCCATCAAGACAGTTTTGTGCAGCATTTTATTGTGCACATTTTAAATTTTCTAGTCATCTTTTGGAGATAGCATTGCTGCTTCTCAACATGGGACTGGAGGGCTGACCCTGCAGGAATTCTGGCCTGAGAGCACGTTTCTATGTGAGATTAGCTTTATCTTCTTTCCCATCTCCTCAGAGGGGATGGGATGGTTGGGCAATTAGTCTTAGGAAATTCAGACCTTCATGTCTTTTTTTTTGTTTGTTTGTTTTGGTTTTTTTCTCCGGTACCGGGAACCGAACTCACGACCTTGCGCTTGCCAGGCAGGCGCTTTTGCCGCTGAGCTAAATCCCCAGCCCCAGACCTTCATGTCTTGATCAATCTGGATTCCTGGATAGGCGTAGTGGTATATGCCTGTAATCCAAACACTTGGGAGGCTGAGACAGGAGGATCACTGTGAGTTGGAAGTCAACCTGGGCTAAAAAGAGACTTCTTGGCCAGCATGAAATAGTTAGTGAGACCTTGTCAGAAAAAAAAACAACAAAATTTGGATTCTTACGTCCCGGAATAAGAATTGCACTGTGTGTGTGCAGTGCAGGCACTTTGTAGGTACTGTTTGAATCCTTAAATCCTCCATGACAGCTTTTCTTGTTCCCATTGAAGAGATTGAGAAGGCTGGGTCTGAAGGAGATTGAGGACCATGGGTCATGGTGTGAGTATTATATATGCAAATATAACAAAATCTCCTACACAGTGTTACACATAGATAGTATTTTAATACTCTCCTCTGGTTATGACAGTGTAATGTTCATATAAAAATTAGGCATATCAGGGCTGGGGTTATATGTCAGTGGCACAGCACCGGCCTGGCAAGCGTGAGGTCCTGAATTTTGATTCCCAACACCAGAAAAAAAAAGGAAAAAAAAATTAGGCATAGCAGTATATGAAGAGCTACTTTATCTTTTAAAGATTCTTAGTTTGAAATAATTAGAAATTTATAAGAAACTTGTACATATGACCTATAATGCAGCATGTATGATGATATATACATATATGATGCAGCCAATTTTAGAGTAAGTTATTACCCTCATACTTCCATGTGCTATTCCTGAAAACAAAGATTTTCCCTCTTATAACCAAAACACAACCATCAGAATCAGGGATCTTAACACCTGTGACTCCTGTGTAATTCTCAGGTCTCATTCAGAATCTGCCCATTGTCATAGCAGCTTTTAGAGCAGAAGGAAACTGTTCAGCACGTCAACTGTTTAGTCTTCAGACATGCAGTCTGCAGCAGTTCTCAGCTTTCCTTGACTTTGACAGTTTTGCACTTTTGTAGGCTGTTTTTTGAAGACTCACATTTTGTCACTTTGTCAAAATCCTTTAACCTGGGTTTGTCAGAAATTTCTGGATGAGATTCAGGTTGTGCATCTTTGGAAGGGGTGAAGCTGTATTCTTGTCTTTTTAAGAAAATTAATTAATTAATTTGTTGAGACAAGGTCTGGCTGAGTATTTCAGACTGGCCTTGAACATACAGCACTTCTCTGCCCGCTTGCCCTGGGATTACAGGCATGGGCCACCATGCCCAGCTGTTCTCATCATCTGTTCTTTGCTGCTGTATGATGTATTGCAGAGATGTCCCCCAGTTTATTTCCAGACTTGTCGTAGTGCAGTGGTACTGCAGTGAACATTCTTTTTTTTGTAACATTCTTGAATGTATGATATATTGCCCATGTTTCCAGTGTACCTGTAGAAAGATTCTAAGAAATGGAATTGCTGAGTATGAGGTTCCAGGCATTGTAGTATTGATAGATACAACTACACTTATAATATTTATAGTATTAATACACATGTGTGTTGCATTTCCTCCAGCAAATTTAGTTTTATATTGTTTGCCTCCTGGAGTGACTAGAGTCTTCCTGTTCGTTGGTTTTAACATGCAACTTAAATAAGATCTAAGGGGCTTGCATAAGTGTCCATAGAAAGTGGATTCTACATTGCTTTTGTTTTTCCTCTTACATAACATTGGCCTTGAATTTGGGAAGCATTTGGCACTGCTATTGCACATTTCCAGGTCTGACAGACCCAGCTTAACAAAGCTTTTTACTACACATAGTGACTTGTATTACTTATTACTTACAATTATGCTATATTGAGACTACACAATCTCTTTCGGAGGAAGTATCTTATTGAGTGTACATTTTATGTAGATATTGATAGAGAGATAACTATATCTCTTTTTTTTTTTTTGGTACTGGGAATCAAACTCAGGACCTTGCACTTGCCAGGCAGGCACCTGTGCCTCTGAGCTATATCCCCAACCCTGAGAGGTAACTATAGATGTAGATACAGATACAGATTTTTTTCTCTTTAAACTTTATTTTAAAACGATGCAGAATTTCAAAACAAGATGATAGGAAATTAACAATGGTTGTTATATTGCATATTGTTATCTTCACAGTAGTTGTTCAGATTTCCAGATATAGGCATGCAAAATTGATCAATTAGGCTTTAACTGTAGAAATTAGTAGTACAATTATCTTAGTTATTTTGTGTGTGTATATATATATTTTTTTCCCCTTCCTTTCTTTTCTCCTTCCCCCATCCCAGTTGTTCTTTCCCTCTGAGAAGTTCCTTTCGCTTTCACAATATCTATTATACCTTTCAGATTTTATTCACTCTTTCAGTTTCTTACACTAGAGAGACAATACAATGTTTACACATGCAGGTCTGATTTATTTCACTTGTGAGTACGGTCTCTAGTTGCATCCATTTACCTGTAAAAGTTTTATAGCTGAGTAGTACTCCATTGTATAAAAATACCACATCTTTTATCCATTCCTCAGTTGATGGGCATTTGGGTTGTTTCCAAGATTTAGCTATGACAAATTGTGCTTCTATAAACATGAGTGCACATATATACCCAGAAGGGGAATACCTGGGTCGAATGGGACCTCTGATCCTAGTTTTCTGAGGAATCTCCATGCTGATTTCCACAATGGCTGTACTACTCTACACTCCCACCAACAGTGGAGAAGGGTTCCTTTTTCCCCACAGCCTTGCCGGCATTTGTTATTGGTTGACTTCTTGATGATAGCCATTCTTTCTGGGGTGAGATGGAATCTTAGTGTTGTGTTAATTTGCATTTCTCAAATGACCTTTTTTGTTGTTGTTAGGCAGGGCCACATATGTAGTTCAGGCAGGCCTTGAACTGTGTAGCACAGGCTGGCCTCAAACTCGGCAGCAATCTTCCCTCAAGGCAAACCTCCTGCCTCAGCTTCCCCAGTGCTGGAATTACAGGTATGCGCCACCAGGCCTGGCTATGAACTCTTTCTTGAAGGGTAGAATACAGAACCTCAGCCTTTCAGCCACAGATGTGGACGAGCTTTGCCATTAATCTTCCATGAAATAGTAGGTCTAAGTCCAAAGGCAGAATTGGTTGGCCGAGTCTCTTCCCTACCTTACCTGACTTTATGTTAGCAAAGAATGTGGGTCATTAGGGAGAATTGCTGAGGAAATCTCATGGGCACTGCTCATTGACTGCATTGTAACCTGGAATTTGAACTGGAATTTGAGCCCTTTCAGCTCTTCTCTTGGAAAAGCCAGGGAATGAGCACTGGTGTTAGTTATCCTTGTGCTGGCATGTGAACCAGCTGTGTTCTGGGGCCCTTTGTTCTGTTGCTTGTATTTAGGAAACATCCCTGACCTAGAGACCCTGTTTTGTTAGTCCTCACAGTATGGATGACATTAATGATTGAGGATATGAGCTGCCTTCCCTGCTGTTTGTAGACCACTCAGGTACAGCTATTAGAGAGCAAGGAGGTTGTTAAACTTTTTGTGTTCCTGATGAGTTGGAGAGTTGAGACATTGATACCTGTGAAAGTGTAATTTTCTTAGTGTCTTCTCCTGCTTTTCCTAGTGCTGGAGATGAGACTCAGGACCTTGTACATGGTAAACAAGTGCTCTGCCATTGAGATTTTTCAGTGTATTGCTTAATCATAGGATTGACCCAGTGAGACCTAATTTGTTGGTTTTAGGGCTTGGAACGTAGTGCCTAAGATTGAATGTTTTTATAGCACATTTTCCTGAGGCTAACAAGTATTCCTTTGGAAGTATACTTTTGTGGGGGCACACTGGGGATTGGAGCCAGTGCCTTTGCACTGACCTACTTCCTCAGCCCTTTCTAAGTTTTAAAAACTTGATACATGTTAATAAAAAATATTTAAAATTACATTAAAGATACATAACCAAAATGTCAAAAAATATTTTAAATTTTGAGACAGGGTCTTGCTAAGTTGCACAGGTTGGGCTTGAACTTTCAGCACTGGCAGCATGCTTCTGCACATTTTAGGTATGTAATTGTACGTATAGGATTGTGTGATGGGGTTGAACCCATACTTTCTGAGAGAATGTGTCTCCTTCCATGTCCCCATAGAACATGTG